GTGATATAGAAGGATCTAACTTTATTTTTCTATAATTAGTTAACCAATTTTGCCAGCACCATTTACTGAAGAAGTTGTGTTTCTTCCATTCTATGTTTTTAACTTCCTTATCAAAGATTAGATGGATATAGATTTGGGGGTTCATTTCTGGGTTTTCAATTCTATTCCATTGGTCCTGAGGTCTGTTCTTGTGCCAATACCAAGCTGTTTTGATTACTATGGCTTTGTAGTAGAGTTAGAAATTTGGTGTTGATATTCCTCCAGCACTGTTCTTTCCGTTGAGGATCATTTTTGCTATTCAAAGAATGGTTGGACAAATGGTATTTCATGAAATTGCAGAGCTTCTGCATGGCAAAAGACATAGCTAGCAAGATCATTAGAAAGCCCATGGATTTGGAGAAGATCTTCACTAGACATAAAAAGGACAAGGGTCTCATATCTAAAACATACCTGAAACTCAAAAAATTAATTCCCCCAACAACAAATCCTGAAAGAAACAACTGCCCAATAAATAAGTGGACTAAAGACTTAAAGAGAAACTTCTCTGAAGAAGAAAGAAGGATGGCCAATAGACACATGAAGAAATGATAAACCTTTCCAGCCATAAAAGAAATGCAAATCAAAACATCATTGAAATATTACCTCACCCCAGTTAGAATGGCAAAAATCAAGAACTCTAATAACAACAGATGTTGGAGGGGATGTGGACAGAAGGGAACCTTACTGCATTGTTGGTGGGAGTGTAAACTTGTTCAACCACTTTAGAAGGTATTATGGAGGTTCCTCAAAAGACTCCACATAGAGCTTCCCTATGGCCCAGCAATCCCACTTTTGGGCATTTACATAAATGATCACAAACAAGACCACACTAAAGCTACCAGCAAAACTATGTTTATTGCAGCATTATTTACCATAACTAAGATCTGGACCCAACCCAGATGCCCCTCAGTAGATGAATGGATCAAAAAAATGTGGTATATATACACAATGGAATTCTATGCAACCATCAGAAAGAATGACATTGCCCGATTTGTTAGGAAATGGAAAGACTTGAAAAAAATTATATTAAGTGAAGTAAGCCAGACCCAAAGAAACATAGGCCCCATGGTTTCCCTTACTTGTAATAACTAGTATATGTCTGAGTCAAGCAGAAAAGGTCAGATATGTTGATGTTAGGTGAAATGAAACCCAAGATAAGTGTTCAAATGTATTTTACTTTCATGGGATTGTTTCTAACATATTTATAAGATGATTCCTTTGTTGCTTTGTATGGCCCTCCCCCACAAAATAACTCCTGCTTTCACTGTATTTGATGTTGGAGGGAAAGGGAAAAAAACAAATTGTTTACATAGGGATACTGGTGGACCCATTGCAACAATGAGATATACAAGTCGTTATGTAGAAAAACGAACTTTACAACTTTGGTGGGGAAAGCAGGGAGGGGGGAAGGGAGGAAGAAGGGTGGATATGGGTTGGGGGGGGCAAGATATGGGAAGGGATAGGAAGGGAAAACAATAGATGAACCAACAATGCTTGATAAGAAATGTACTCATTATCTTGCCCAGGTAATTGTAACTAGTCTGTATGGTATTATCATAATAAAAAATTGAAAAGTTAAAATAAAGAAATAAAATTCCACCCAAATAGTGTGACAGAATGATTAAGAAAGAATTGTATTAATTTGTGATTATTTAAAAATTATCCTAACCTGTACACTTGTACACTTTCATTTCATTTAAAAGCTGGGATTGTCAGAGTTTCTGTTTCTTTTCTTGTTGTATTATCCCCCAATCCCTGTTTTTTGTTTTTTTTAATTTTATTTTATTTTATTTGTGTACATACTGTACAGAGGGGTTACAATTACATGGGCAGGATAATGC